GAACAAAAAAATTCGCGCAAGTGATAAGGCTGGGGTGAGGGAAGGAGGGAGTAGTGAAACCAATTGTAGAAGCATGTCTCGGAGGTCAGTTAGTGCATTTTATCTCCTAAGACAATTGCATCTGTGTCCTCAAAGACTCGATGGTCAAAAGAAATAGGAGACATGGAGAAAGAAATGAATAAAGCGAGGAACAAAGAAAGAAGAAGGAATGGAAAAGAAAAAAGAAAGAAAGAAAGAAAAATAGGAATGTTTGAAAGAAAGAAGAAAGAAAGAATGAAAGAAAGAAAGAAAAAATGGAGAATGAAAGAAAGAGAGAAGCATGAAAGAATAAATGAAATAAAGAAAAAAACAGAGAACGAATGAAAGAAATTTGAAAAAAAAAAGAAAGTGTGAAAGAAGGTCATATAAAGAAAGCAAGAAAGAAAGAATGAAAGAAAAAAAGGACAAAGAAAGCAAGCAAGAAAGAAAGACACAAATAAATAAACCAAAATGGATGTAAAGAAAAAAAGAATGAATGAATGAAAAGATAAATCAGAAAATGAAGTGGGTAAGAAAGAAAGAATGAAGGAAAGAAACGACGAAGAGAGTAAGTAAGCAAAGTAAAACAAAAATGAATGGAAAAGAAAGAAAGGAAACAAACAAAAAAGGAATCGAAAAGAAAGATAGAACGAAAGAAAGAAAATAAAGAAAAAAGAAAAGAAGATAAAAAGACTGAAATGAGAAAGTAAGAAATAAACAGGGTGGAAAAATAAGAGAAAAGAGAGATTAAATTGTCAACAAAAGAAAAAAAAAATGAAATATAATTAAAACAAAAAGAAAGAAATAACGAAGCAAGGAAGAAATATCGAAGTATTAAAGAAGAAGGGGAAAAGAAACAAATGGAAAAATAATGAAAGAAATAGAGAAGGAAAAAAAACAAACAAAATGGCGAAAATCGAGCAAAAAACATAACTAATGCCAAAAAAATTGAAAATAAATACAAAAAAACTGAAATGTAAAAAAGACACAAGGAAATATAAAGTGGTCAACGAAAGGGGGAAAATAAGAGAAAATGTGTCATTGGAAAAAAAAAAAAAAAACATTGGTTGGGCAAAGGACGTAAATAAGGCGGGAAAATCTCTGGGTTCATTGCGTGCACATTTTGACCAGCCAGCAATTTTGGTCATTTTTCTGGGATGCTGAAGAGAAAACTGCACATAAATTGAGAGAAAGAGAGAGAG